AAACTGCAGGTTGTTTCAGTATATTATTTAATGAACTGGAAATAAAAAGAAATTTTATGGAAGATTTATGTATGGCATATAAATATGGTAATTCTGTATATGAATTTGTTTTAACATCAAATTTATTTATAGCTTTCAACAAGTTGTTAATATCTTTCTTTAGACTTATTTTGCAATTTAAAAGTTTGTGTAGTATCCATCTCATTAGTTATAATTTGGGTATAAAAACATTCACAGATAAAGCCAAAAATTATAGTTGGCCTTATTGATAGGTACAATAACATGTCTCTTGTATTTTATGGATTTTAGCTTTAAATTGAAAAAAATGTTAAATCTATTGGATATTTAGTTAAATTAGTGAAAGCTAATTTTTCTTTAATTCCATTAACAACATAATATCTCCATTGTAAAAACCAACTTGGAGGATAATGTGTAAAATTATTAAGTTCCCCAAGTGCTTTACAACTTAAAATGGCACGAATATTAGTTAGACATGGTTCAAAGGGCAAAAAGGAATAAAGTTTAAGTATAAATAGCTGTATACTATTATGAGTTTAAAGCTACTTAGGATAAACAAACGTAGTTTCATGTTACAATTTGAAGTCACTCCCAACAAAAAAAAAGGGTAATTTAGATTTAATTTATTTTTTTGGGGGTGATTACTAGGTCGGTCAAATTAACCAACCTTGTATAGAGTTAGGGCAGAGAAAATAACAGATAAAATATAAAGTTTTACTGAAAACAAACATTTGAAATGTATTTAAGAGGTTTATAGAGATTACAGATTTTTGAGGTGAAGAAAAGTATTTTTAATCTCAACATAAAATAGACTGCACACAGACACTGATATATTCACAGACAAATCTTTTTTAGTTTATTTAAAATACTTCACTAAAAAACATGACTTTTTTATGTGAAAGACATATAATGTTTACTGAAAGACTGCCAAATTTAGTGAATATATATACATACTATATTAAAAGTTAGTAATATAAAATCTATAAAACTTTAAGTGAGTTCAAAGAGGTCACGTGGTCAGTCAAAGTGACCGAGCTGGTGTTGAGAGAGCTAAGAGGCTTTAGAAGTTATGCAAATGAAAGTTAAAAAATATAAGATGAAAGAACTTATTTTTAATCTTATCGTGAAAATCACAGACAACTCTTTACTAAAATTACTTAATTAAAAGCTTGGATTTTTTGTGTAAAGAAGAGTTGTAATGTTTACACACACACACAATATTAAAAGTTATAATATGGATACTTCCATGGTTATCTGGTGTTATTCTATGTGTCATGTGATGCATCTCTGCTCTGAATTGTCCCTTATAAATTTGCTATCTTTCCTTATATGATCTTCAGTATGTCCAATCAATTAGATTCGATGACGAGGAACCCACTTTGAGACTAATAATGGCTGGAGACGGCTTAAATGGGTAATGAAGAAAAACTTTAATATAAGTTTAACATGACAGCAAATGTACAACGTTTCGACAAGGTTTTGTCATCATCATCATCATCATCACCTGATGATGACAAAACCTT